GGAGAGTTTGTACCCTGGGTCATCACGAAACGCTGTGTGGAGGGGCCTTTTTTTTTTTTCCCCTGTCGCCGGATATCCGGGGTCCTAGAGATTTCGGGGTCGTGTGCGGCTCCTGGGACCCCGAATAACCGGCGACCATGGAAGGAAACGAAAAAGGCCCCGCCGCACAGCGTTTCGTATTGACCCGAGGTATATGTGTGCAAAGTTTTAGAGTCTAACTCATAGAAACGGCGTGAAGTTTTCAGCTCCTGTGCCGTGAAGTATTTCGCATCCTGGATTTCCCCAAACTGCTTGATTAAAGTATGAAACGGCGAAATTCAGGTTCTTTTGACGCCCAAACGACCCCATTGCATCAGTTTATCGAATTAGTTCATGAAAATTCATAGACACGGTCTTTGGAATATATAGGTAAGTTGGAATCAAGAAAAAAAAAGATCACATACTGGGACAGATTTTTGGGGTCCCGCAAAAGTGGCTATCTCCAACGCAGTTTGACCCACCGACGGCAAGTCATAAATCGACCATTTTTCAACCGTATTAGGCCAGTTTATGGGCGATGTCGACGAAACTTCATGCGAAGCTTCATTGCACTGTAATGGTGTCGTTGACGGTGTCGTTGGTTAGAGAAAGAATCACAAACAGCCATGTTACCGGCATGGTGGGGTCTGTAAGAATCTACCNATTAGTTCATGAAAATTCATAGACACGGTCTTTGGAATATATAGGTAAGTTGGAATCAAGAAAAAAAAAGATCACATACTGGGACAGATTTTTGGGGTCCCGCAAAAGTGGCTATCTCCAACGCAGTTTGACCCACCGACGGCAAGTCATAAATCGACCATTTTTCAACCGTATTAGGCCAGTTTATGGGCGATGTCGACGAAACTTCATGCGAAGCTTCATTGCACTGTAATGGTGTCGTTGACGGTGTCGTTGGTTAGAGAAAGAATCACAAACAGCCATGTTACCGGCATGGTGGGGTCTGTAAGAATCTACCTACAGTCGTCCCCGCTTTAAAGACGCTCATCTTAAGTCAACTCCCCGCGATAAAGACGAAAAAAAAATCCGAACCATGGTGCCCCGCAGATATACAATATGAGGGGGGGTGTACTTTATATACTGCGGGCCCCCCAGAAAATCGTGCAGCACACCTGTAGAACTGCACAGAGAGCGGTCTGCCACTGCTGATGCTGCTGTACCTTCTTTCGAGGACTGTGCATTCGTTCACTCACGAAACTCAAGTCAACCGAAGAGCGAAGCAGGGGGGTGAGGTGCAGGCCACTCTTGGCGATATGTGGGGGCGATAGTTTTTTTTTTCGGAGGGCATACAGCGATGGGCTCTTTTTTTTTAT